AGAAATGTTCGTCTAGCATTGGACCTCCCATTTCCAGATGGAAAAACAAAAACAATGTACTCTTTCTTTGAGCGTACAAATACAAAAAAAAAATATATTATTGAAAAATTACAGTTTTTTATCAATCGAAATAGGTTTCAAGTGGATTTCAGCTTCTACAAATTAAAAGTTTTCGGCTAATAACGAAGGATTCTGAGCCGAAAAAAAACGTCGATTGCTTGTATTTAAATGTGTAAATAATATTATGGTAATTAGTTGATTATAATTGTAATTGTGTTACAGCTCAGCCAACTCTAAAAAAAACAAACATTTTCTGTTTTGTTTCTGACCATTTTTTTAAGTTATAACTCAGATCTGGAAAGTTGTATAATGTTAACAACAACATTTCTATTGTAACTTTGTATTATTATTATTTTTACTTTCATCATCATCGTTGCAGAAGCATATCCACAAATAATTGCCACAGACTTTCAATTGAGTATATCTACTATTCCATTAGATTTCTTCAAGTATATTAGACGTTTGCTTTTCATTTTGCGAGCAAGAACTGTACTACACATTTTCCCTGTTAGCTTTATAAATCAATTTGCTATAATTGAGATTTTAGGCGTTCTCATAATTTAGACTTAATAACAATATAATGAAGTCAATTCTAATATCTGCCAAAGAGCACATACTTGTACACACTATGCCACAACATGATGTGAGGCTTAGAGTCTTAGATGTCAGAACATCTCGGAAAATCTTATCAATTTGGGTCTCATGCTAACATAAGTTGACATAAATTTTGTTGTCATCTTATGTGTTGGCCACGTGCGGCATAAAACTCGAATAAAGCACAAACCTGTCAATAAAAGTAACATGCACTCAAATGCACACTAAAATTCGCACACACACACACAAATTAGAGGACATAGCTGAGGCATCTTTAGTACACTCCAGTTCTGATAATTTATGTACAACAAAATGCGTTCTTAATTTAAGTACAACAGATTTGTGCTGTCTGCTGTTTCTACATAATGTATGGGCATCCACAATATCCACAATATCGTGTGTGCCTATGTGTGGGTGTGCAAAAGTCCCTAAGCTCAACTTCATAATACGCACAAAGACCTAAAGCCAAGGACGCGACGATGCAGCAACAACAACAGCAATAGCAACAACAGCAACAATAGCAACAAACACCAACAACGGGCTCACATCACATTTGACTGACAAAAACACATTAGGCGTGCGCTGACAACGTCTAAGTGGCGACTGTTGTGCTCGAGGCCCCACTGGGTGGGCCGCTCTGATCTCTGTTGTCGGGTCTGGTCTGGTCGGGTCTGGTCTGGCTTGGTCTGACCTGTTCTGGCCTCCCCTGGCTTGGCTTGGCTTGGCTTGGCTTGGCTTGACGTGGCCCGGCCTAAAGTGGCACACAAAAGCCCTGTAGATTTATGCAGCCAGCTTATTGATACGCGTTTGCTGCTTGGGGTAGCACCTTGGCGTTTAGGCAGGCAAACAATAAATATTTTACGTTGCCTGTTTTTCGTTTTATTTCATTTCGCTGCTCTGCCTTTTTATATTTATATGCCACTCTATTCCCCACCCATTTTATTCCACACTACTGTTGGGCTATTTTGATAGTTTTTGCCCGTACACCTGACAGCTTTAAAGTGTCAGGCCATAAATTGCCAACACACATATATGTACATAAATACATATATATATGGGTTTTTGTATGTATATGTACTCGTAAGTATACAAATAAACATTGAGCAAAAGCCTAAAGACAAGTTTCTGAAATTGCATACACCAGAAAGTTTTTATGATGCATTTAAAACTTCTTGATTATGCCATGCCATGGCAAGAATCTGCCTCCAATGTGTGTATGTGTGTGTGTATGCGATTGTATTTGTTTGTTTGACGTCACAGATATACCTGTTCACATACGGGTGTGTCTGTATTTATATGCATTAGAGGAAGAGGGCTACAACTCTTGTGAACAAGTTCGGTTTTAGTTCGCAAGTGAATACCCAATTCAAGTTCAGGTTCTTCACTTCACAATATGTCTGTCCTTTATTGGATGGTAATACAAAAGTCCGATCGGGACTACATTTTGAAATTTTTGTGAGCATGTTGGATTTAATTACGATTGCAGTTCAGCCTAACTGTATTTGTAAAAGTTCTATGAAAAATTAAAAAACATTTCTGAAACTTTTACGTACATTGAATCACATTTTGTGGCATCCGTTATTGGGTCAAAATTATTATTACTAATTAATTACTTATATTATATAGCTCTCCGTCTGTATAGGAAGGATCAGCCTTAAATATTCAATATACAATTTGCTGAATTGATAGTTTTTAAAAAATTAAACCCAAAAAGGAGATTTGATAATTTGTTGATTAAAGCAACGTTGCATTTGGATAAAAGGAGACACACATATTGAAGCGTTAACAATAATTATACCCTGTACCCGTAGGTTAAAAAGGGTATATTACATTTGTGCAAGCACATAAAGTACATATATTCTGAATCGATCTAGACATGTCCGTCCATCCGTCTGTCTGCATGAACGCCTGGTTTTCTAAAACGGCTGAGCGTATATAAACCGAACTTTGTATGCAGACGTTCCTCCCTATATGAGTTTATTTTACTTTTTTGAATCTTTCCCCCCTTCCTCAGCTACAGAATTTCGTCAATACCGTTTATACTATATATCAAAAGCTACAAGAATGTCAGTCGTTCGAAATAGTGCCATATACTATGTATATGTATTTGCATTTTTCATGTACACGGTATAATAAAGATTAGTAAAAAAAATACACAATACAACATTATTACAACATCACAAGCTTCTAATGTTCTTCATCAAAATGATTTCAGTAAAGAAGGCCCCAAGCAGGAATCAGCTTCCAGCCCTAGTAGGCAGTACTGCCACATAACTTATTACATTTCATAGTCAGACCAAGCCAATATGCTATGCTCAGCACCTGAAAAGTTCATTTAAAGTTTTTGTTGTGAAGCATAAATTCTAGTGTGGCACATACATATATAGAAAAACTTTTATGGCCTAGTTGTCCATTTAGAGCTGCTACTGTAAAAACGAGATACAAACGAGTGTAAAAAAATCCACATGAAAAATGTAAAAAATGAAAACATATTTTCATAAAAATCTAGCATTTTCAGGAATAGAGAGAACGCCCACTGCTCTATGAACTAACGCAATGATGTGCCATCTAATTGGCCTTTTTATGCACACGAGCACACTCGACATCATTTCCATTTCCAGTGCCATTTCCGTGCCAAAGCAGTTTATCACTAACTATGCGCATTCATACTCCCTTCCTCTCCTCCTCACCCACCCCATCCACATCACATCACTTCTATCCATGCTGTGCGACAGTTTCGACTCTTGCAGCGTGCACGGCTCTTCAATATTACGTATACGTATGTATGTATAAATATATGTGACGGCTTGTATATATGCGTATTGCGCTTTAGTCCGTTGGCTCTTCTGCCCGTCAGCTGTCTAAGGGGCTAACGACGGCGATGGCGATGGCTATGCCAATGGCGGTCTATGGTGCTTGACAGAACGTGACACTTGCAGTTGAAAGTGCGTCGATGACGGCAGTGACGTGGCGGGCCAGCAGCAAACTTAGGGCAAAAAGCATCTAAATTGAGGCTTAGTTGAAAAGTGCTAATAGGCCCATTCGCTGCACTGCGTAGCCATCAAATCGGGGGAAAAAAAGTTAGGTATGTAAAGTACAAACATACTTATAAATGGCATATATAGTACACATATAGTATACTATATACTGAGAACACAAGTTGTTTGCCTTTTGCATCGTTCCGCTTTTAAGTGGCTGCCGGTCTGCATGTGTGGTTGCGGGCTCATCAAATGAGGCGCGATAGTGGCAGTTACAGCTTCATTGCCTCTAACCAACTATAGAAAACTTCTTAACTATGCATTCAATTAACACGCTTACGGCCCATTTCATAAAGGCTTAATTGCGGCCCAAGGCAGACGCAACACTTTGGCACAACACTCTGTGGCAACTTGGCCTTGGCACTTCAGTCTACACTAGGTGCCATAAATACTTCTATACGAGTATATTTTGAAGCATCAACTAATTGCGTTTTCACTTAATTGGATCGGCTGAGGTTGCTTGAATAGGCTACGGTCTACTCTACTATGAGTAATGAGAAGCACTTACTCACAAAACACTCAGACAGGACCTTCAATTTTTATCGCCGCGTTAAAATTATGCTTAAGACTGTTTGGCGCTTTTGAGCCATACTATATTCCATATAAATTACACCGTATTATTGAGTTCTATGTTAATAAAAATATCATTACTCTGCTTCTCTATGTGGCCTGGGAGATTTCGTTCCAACAGCATTTTTTACTTTTTTTACTGTTTTTTTTTCTTGGTTTTATTGTAATGCTATGAAAAAAGACTCGGATTACTTTGGATTGTAAACCGGATCACAGCTGTCCCATCAATACACCACTACCAAGTCGGAATCATTATAGAAACATAGGAATAGGCCTTGGATAAATCATTTTGTCATTATTTGATGTCTTAAGTTGACTTTAAAAAAATAATTAAAAATGAATTGTGTATGTAAACAATGTTGATAACCATCTCGGAGATGTGGAAACTCAAGTCCTTTCTCTTAGTTGAGAGAATCTGGATACCACGTTTGGTTTTCTAATTACTTTCTGAAATGGTTCATACAAGTACAGACAGATCGACTCGTCTTATCATATTGATCAAGAATATATATTGTTGTGGCGGTCCGCCACTTCTCCTTCTATGTGTTACATACATACAAGAAACTATAAAGTATTATCTTTGTCTTTATCATTTTGTGTTTATCTTTGTCTTTATCATTTTGTGTTTATCTTTGTCTTTATCATTTGAATATACGCAAATACGAGAAACGAGTAGTAGGCTAATACACTAAAGTATGTAAAAGTATAGTGTGAGTAAAATAATTTATTTCGAAGCAAATACTCTACTATCCACAGAAGACATTAACAAGCCAACAGGCGCAATCGCTTACATGGCCTCATTTCCGGATAGCGATGATGAGTCGCACTCAACACTTCAGCTACCACCATCAAATACAAAGGCGAAGCAGAAAGTTGTTGGAACTAAATCCTGCACTGTGCGCATTAAAATGCTGACCGAGGAGGAGATCGCAAAACACAGAACTTTACGCCCAGCTAAAAGGCAACATCGCTCCCGCCATTATGATTCGGATGAATCTCCACCTAGGAAGCGCACTAAGATGCACCACAAAGAGCCACTGCCGGGCTTTTTTGATAAAGGTAAATCGACAGTTAAGTGCATGCGACCGGCTACCTCACCTCCAGACTGGTCTAAATCTCCTAAGCCGATAAATTCGCTTCCATTACCTAAAATTACCGAAGCTCACCGTTTTTCCAACTGTCGGGTTCACGTAAAGCGCGCAAAGCTTCCTAAAAGTAAAAATGCCAATTCACGTGAACGCAAGATAACCCAAAGCTTGCATACACCCACAGGTTTACAAGAGATCGATGCCACAGGTAATGTGGTGGAGAACAATGAGTTGATAGAAAACATGGTGCTTGAGGCACCAATCCTGGACAAGCAGGGTCAACCACCGGGCAGGGGTCTGTGCCATGGTGAAGGTGGCAACGGTCATAAGCTGAATCCCTGCCCTGCTCAGCATAATCCAGTAATGAGATTGATGAGCTTTCGTATGAATAATAATTATTTGGGCAATAAGGAAAAGCATGAAAGCCAGGAACATATCGTGCTCAATGAACTGGCATCGATTCCAGATGTAGGACCGTTACATTTAGAGCGACTGCATGACCATAAAAGTGACGAATGTGGAAGTAAGAAAGTGCCCATCAAAGACGCGACAAGGGTGCAGCAGCAACAGACTGAGAATCTGAAACATTCACTTTCAGAAGCTATAGAAACTGCGCCCAATACAGCAAATGAAGTGTTATCTTCGAACACGTCGTTGACTCCCATCTCGCTTGCGGATATGTGCGATCAGCATACGCAAACCGAATCGGTGGAATCTGATCTAAGCTGTAAATCTGCTTCGAAGCTTACAGATAATATTTCAAATGGCAATAATGTGGATATAACACCCGAGCGTGTGCACATAATAGATGATATGCGAACACATCCAATGGCATCGACCACCCCAACAAATAACCCACAACCGATTAGCGCTTTGACCACAACAACAACAGAAACATATAGCAATATAACTGTGGAGCCATATTCGCCGGTTCGCCAAATTTCTAGTACATTTGGAGATTTCATACTGAGACAGTTGCAAAATTTACCCGACTTTCTAACTATTACTATAAGTATAATAATATTTTTATCATCGCATTGAATTCTTGGGCAACCTAAATTTGTATTTTAGTTCATCGCTATTCCATGCAAAGGCTTATCTGACTGCACAAAACACACTGGCTTATGTTAGTTATGAAGTCCAAAATTATTATCAGCTTTATTAGGCAAAGATTTAATAATCAATTCATTCGTTTCTAGTTGAGCATTCTCTGTTGGACATTACTTGGCACATGAATTAAATAAAATTAAAAAAATGCATCAAATCTTTTATCTTTTAGAAATAACATTTGTATTCTATTAATATAGCTTTCAACCTTATTCATGCGTTTCTAGTTCTCTGTTGGACATTACTTGGCACATGAAATAAATAAAATTAAAAAATTTGTTTAATATGTTTATCAAATCTTTTATCTTTTAGAAATAACATTTATATTCTATTAATATAACTTTCAACTTTATTCGCGAAGCCGAAGCTAATATTTTCGAAAACCAATTGTCTAATGAGAAAATGTACATTTGAATGTTAAAATAAATTGTATTGAGGAATGAAAAACACGTAAGTAAGCTTTCAAGAAATGTACTATTAAATAAATTACATACACAGTGCGGTCAAAGCTAATCAACAATGCCCATTAAAAATCCTATATTTGTGAAAACAGTAAAAAGTGAAGGATTAGAAGCATAAACATGTTTATAAGCCATGATTCTTTTGCATAATAATGAAGTAATAGTGCAGTCTATTGTGTTTATTTGCTCATAAATGCTGCGTCAGTGTGTGTGTGTGTAAATGTTCAACACTCAATAACATTCACAACACACATACACATACATATTAATAATAAGCACTGAAATGCGTTGCATACTTTGGGGCGCACACTTGACGCCATCTGCGCAATATTAGAAATTCTTGTTGCTTATGTCAAGCACAATTGAACAATAATACGACAGCCTCATTAAACGCTCTCTTCGATTGCAACAACAACAAAAAGGTAGGACATGTTGTCGAAGCTTGAAAGAAAGGCCAAAGTTTTGCGTAGTGGCTGCCATTGTTTTTCCCTCGCTTACATTGTTGTTGCTGCTGCTGGTGTTGTTGTTGTTGTTGTTGCCGCCTTGCATTGTTCAACACAATAAAAAGCTGTTGTTCATTTTTATGGAGTAACGCCTGCCAGGCCGACAGGCAGACAAGCATACAGTCAGACCGTCAGGTTATTGTCGCTGCCTTGCCATACAGAATGAGCTGACAGCACAAAAAACAGAAAAACAGAAAAAACACCAACAACAACACAAGTAAGCACTCGGCTTATAGTTCAGACGCGACTCAAGTGCGTCGCTTAAGTGTATCTGTATGCGCATGGGTGTGCATGGCGGTGTGGGTGTGTGTATGTGTATGTGTGTGACGCACATAATGACTGCCAACAAGTACAAAAGTTTATGAATATGATGGAATAATTAAAACTTGGCGCCAATTTGAGGGCGCACAAGCACACACACACACACACGCACACATGCGCATATATATGACAATGTGGGCGTGTAGGGTGCATGGGCGTTGACAACAACGACAAAAACGAATATGTACAAAAAACAATGAGTTGAGTTTGGGCGCAAGCTCGGGGACACGAAGCACATTGTTTGCTTTGCACTTTGTGCTTAAGGCCTTTGACTTTGGCAACAACAAAAACAACAACAACAAAGAAAAAAGCCTTTTGCAAAAAAAATTCTTAGAAAGCGAAAATGAAAAAAAGTAAAAGTTGGGGGGCAGTTCTTATGCCGTGAATTGTACGGTTTATGTTTTGAAATGCTTAGCAAACTTTTTGCTTTGCCGGTACCTTTTCGTTATCCTTTGCGGCTTGCTTTTAATTATGTATTCATCACTAATTAAGACGTGCGTATTTTTAAAACACTCACCTAACTTTTTAAATTTTCTTCCCTACTTTCTGTACATACAAGTGTGCAAGAGTGTAAACAAGGAAATACAAACAAGTGACGCGTTTTTAAAAGCAAGGAAACAAAAAGCAGCTGCTTAGCTGCACTTGCTAGAGCCAAAGAAGACTGAAGGCAAACTAGTATAGACAAATCCACACACACAAATCTACTTACAGCTTGCACTTGTGTGTGTCAGCTCTGCCACTGTCACTTGTCATGTGTGCTGAAGCGCTTTTGCCGCATCACTGGACCGAAAATCGTAATGCAACGTCTAGGTGACACTGTCTGCAAGTCACAGTGCATCCATCAGATGCAAACCCAGCCAACTGGCACACGCATTCAAAGCATAATTATGTGCGCTTTTATCAAAGCACCAACAGCAGCATTGACTATGTGACTGTGCCACTCAATGTGTGTGTGGGCGGCCGTATTCTGAATTACGGATGGCATCGTAACAAAATATGGCACATCGCCGTGAATAAAGTTCAGCAAAATTCCAAATACTTTTCTTCAAAAATTAAGTTCAGTTTCTCATTATATTCAACGTCTAGAGAAGCAGAAAATAATACAACTTTAGTCTTTAAAGCCGCACTGTGTCTGGCATCGATTTTTTTTTTCTTTTCTTTTTTCTTTTTTAAACTTATCATTTCTGACATTAATAGTAACACACAAAATTTGTTAATTAATATTATATTATTCCATCAGCCTAACAGGGTCATATTTGATTCTACACCAAACCAAATCAGTTCACTATACTTCACTGCTCTACTCTAGTCCACAGACTTACTCAAATTCAATAATTTTATGACATTTTGATTTTATTTAAGAAAAAATGTTGTTTATACCGCTGGTGAATATGTTTCGCAGAAGAAAATATTGAAAAAAGCACACAGTATGCAAGTTGTTTTTCTAAGCCACTCACGTTCGCCATGCAGGCACATCCTCAGTGTCAACTGTAGTCTCAACTCATCAGCAGCTCGTGAAGTTTGTTTGAGCTCAGACAGCATCACATATACGGAAATACGTTTGCCTGTGGTTCAATGAACCTCAATGCCAGCCCAAGGAACGGAAGGTGCAACAAAATACAAGTTAAATTTTGCATTTTATACAGCTTTAAGCATACCTGCGAGTATCTCTGCTCGGCAATTTGTAAATTGCGGCCTCTTCCTTTGGCAAACAAAATGGAATAAGAAGTGGTAGTGCAAGAAAAAGAAAAACCATAAAAAGAAGAACTTAACAATTTGTTGTTCAAATTGTGCTTTGGTCAGACAGACACAACCACATACAAAATATATTTTGCACTCGTTAGATGCTGTAACATATGGCTGTTTATTTAAAACTCTCCGTGTGGCATTTGAGGTGAGCGCCAGCTCCATACTCGCATACAGACAAACATTTTTCGGTTATAAATCCTAAGATGAAACTTAAATTTGTTTTATTTTATAGACACACAATTCTTATACTTTTTGCTGCTGATGCTGCGGTTGCTACGAAAGTGAAAAGTTTACAAAATAATCCACAGTTGCAGAAGAGTAAAGTCGTAAAACTTGTCCCGTCTACGTCGCTGTGTGTGTGCGTGTGTAGGTGCAGCTATAAGTTCTAGATGACGCACAAATTTACGTTGTAAATCCTTTTTTGTGACACGCTCAGGCGCGTACATGACGGATGAGTAACGAAGCGTTTTTTGCCACAACTCTTCTTGACTTTTTTCAGCCTTTATTTCTTTATTTTTTACAGACGACCGCAGCGGCTGCTGCTGCTGCTGCTCAAAGATTTATGTGCTCTTTAAGAAATTTAATGTGTTGGCCAGCATGCTCATAATGTTATTTCTTTAAGCACAAAGAAACTGAAGCTGTTGGGTAGCAGCCGCGACATGACATGCCAATTTTCAACTGAATGCATCGCAGAGATACAAAACTAACAAACAAATCTCAGAGATAGGGGAGGGCAGAGAAAGCGAGAATATGTACATACATACACGTATACGGTTGGGCTGACAAACAAAGCTGAAGAATTTCATCCAATTTGCAAGAGTAAGGAATACCGCGCTATATAACGTATACGCCATATTTGCCCCGCATTGTTCGTTAACATGCTGGTGCTCGTCATTGCTCTCGGTTTGTGTGATTTGACTCGACGCAACTTGCCTCGACTTCCCTCACAGCCATAGCAACAACAACTACAACAACAACAACAACAATAGCAATAGAAACAACAATGCAGCATACTATATACGAGTATGCTGCGATTTCCACTGCCAAGTTAAACACGAAGCGCGCTTCCAATTCACCTGCGCAAAAACCATTTTCTTTGGCTAAACAACGTGTTGAAATTTTGCGAATTTGCCTTGTCAAACGTTGACACAAACGTGACACGCATGGCCCAAAAGCTAGCAAGGTAACCCTCATGCCACCCATTGAACCCATCCGCGTACACAACACACACATATTTTTTAATACATATGTATGTCTCAATACACACTGATCGCCAATTTTATAGATGCATTGAATGTGCTGCTGGCCACGATGAAGGTTGTGTTTGTTTCACCACGTAGGCATGTATTTTTTGTAGTGAAAAATCAGTTTAAGTTGGAATAGTTGTCGCAAGGCAATAGTAATCCTGTCATATAACCAAGAAATAATTAATGTGGCAAGAAGAAAAGAACGATACCCCGTTACTTGCCACATCAGACTGTTTACGCTTTAAGCAAGCTGCGTTAACCAAGAAAATGAACATTTTGTTCATAATTGAGAAGATTGTACAATGTAAAATTATGTAATAGAAGCTAACAAAACATTATAGTCATTAAGAGCATGTTAGGCATATAAAAAGTGCAGTCTGTATTCTGCACTTACTTAAATGATATCAACTAGAAGCATATAGGCGCAGGATAAAATTTGATTTGATTTTGTTTATTTTTTTCACCACGACTTATAAACGCAAATGTAGCGAAAGTTTGGAATAATTTTGTGGTTGTAGAAATCAAAAATAGAAAAGGTGGACTTGAACCCATATTATTTAATAATAATATGTATGAATATTATTGGAAAAATTTGAAAATTATTATACGAGTATGTGTATTGCTACACATTTTCAACTTTCCTATCCTAGGTATCAGACGCTGTTCGGAGGCAAGTTATTTTAAATGCTATTCGTTGTTATTATCCCATCTCATCCCAATAAAATGATGTTTAACTTTTATATTTTTTATTAACATTAAATTAAACAAACCATATATATTTAGTCGACTTCAACTGTATAGAAGCATATACCCATATACTCGTACACATTATTTTATATAAGTATATATATATAGTATATCTGTAGTTTGTCATAGTGTTTTCGCGCCAATTGCAAACATGAAATGCATATGCGTACTATGTACATACTTGTATGTATAATGCTGACTTTAGCCGGTACAGACATACATATACTTGTACATATGTTTATATAACATACATATATTCATGACTGTGTGGTGCGTGGCATTTCACTGCTTGGCTGTATTTTTTTCGTCCTCGCATTTAAATGCACGCGTCGTCTGCGAAGGGTTAACAAACCTATCACGTATTACTTATTTATATGTGTGTACCATACCCTATACTATACATAGTATACGAACGGTACAAACTCTAGAAGTGAGCAAACAAAAGCCACTCACACATACATACATACTAACAAAGAGTACAGCAAACTTTTAGGGGACGCACGATGAAATTGTCATTAAGAGCTTTGTGACGTTTGGCAATCAGCTTCTTTACTTTTGTCCTCTTGTGGTATTAAAATGCAGCTATTTATTTAGATGCAATATTAAATGTGATGCGAGCTGCCACCAGTTAGATAGTAACGTAAAATATAAATAAATATGCGAAGAGATGTTAACGCGTAAGTGGAATCAAAAAATTACTACAAATGAACTACAATTGACTCACATTTACATTTCATTGAATAAATTGCACAATTGCTAGTACTATACGAGTATACTGTATATAATGAAATACTCTAAATAAATGCCATAACATTTTCCCTTTTACGCATGAGAGCATTCAAAGCTGTTAGCCTGAAAAATCACATAAAAATACACACAGACGCAGCCACAGGCGCACAGACACATGAAGACAAATACGCACACTCAGCCGCAGGCGCTCCTTCTTTTTCCTTACAGTTGCTGTCAGTTGTTGTTGTTGTTGTTGCTGTTACTGTTGCTGTTGCTGTGGCATTGCATGTAGTATGTATATATTGTATTCAGTCTGCAGAACAAAAACAAATTGTTTTTTATTACGGTGAGCAAACAATGGCAATACTCGTACACAGTATGTATGAGAAGTATGTAGAAGTTGGCATGTTCAAAATAAACATTTTCACTTTTTCTCAATTGTTTTCCAAAAGAATACCGATTTAAAGTCGTTGTACTGCTCTGTGTCTGTGAAACTTTCAGCCATGATTTAAACTTATTTCTGACATTATCACTTGGCCTTCTAAGCCGTACAAATTGCCAGCCCTCTAGCCCCATGTACGCGTAATCGTAATGACAATAAAAAAGTAGCGCAACAAAAAATGCAAATGACGCGCGACGCATTCAAGCGAAAATGGCGTTGAAATTGAAAATCAAAATGGCTGCGTCTGTTCGAGTGGCGCTATGAATACAGATAGAGCTACAAATTCAGCCGTTCACCATTCCATTTCCATCCATTACAAAATACAAAGGCAAGTCAAATGCTGCCGCATAACTTTCCTCACCCTGGCCAGGTGTCAAATGCGTGGCCCTGTTGCCCTTATGGGCGCACCTTGACATTCCCCATTCCCCCAAACAGCACTAGACATTTCGATTACGCTGTGAGTGGTTTACTTAAGTTTACAAATGCAACGTCAACTCGAAACTCGTGTGCCCAACTTTGAAAACTCATCAAATATTTAGTGAGCAGGGGACTAAGGAAACGTTAAGCTGCGCGCCAAAAGGTAGCACAAATTACTGAAATATTCGTATACGAGTATATATGTATGTATGTACGTCTGACTATGCCATTATCATTGATGCCAACATCGTGTCCAGCTATGCCATAGCAGTTACGTGTCCCGCATACAAAACTTTCTTTGTGCTTATGCACGGCAATGCGTGAATGTGAATGCCGGGCAGATCCTTTGCGGTTTTGTGGTTTTTCAAATTGCACGCATTTGATTGCGTTATTGAAATTGACTGTGGCTTCATTATTATAATGCTGTTGCTTTGTAGCATATTGTGGTTGTGGACTCTGGACTATTCGTCCGGTGGGTAGGTAAATGAAGGTATTCAATTATAAATGGCCCAGGCGAAGCTCAATTGCGGCTCACACAATTTTATATATAGCTGCATAGACAGCTGCTTGCTTTATGAATATATATTTGCTGCTGGGGAATTTTAATGCGCCGGAGAGTGTGTTAAAGCGGAGGCGTGAGGTGCCTGAGCAATTTGCTTTAATTGCCTGAGCCGCCGCGGCTTGCCAAATGGTGGAAGGCGGTGCGACAGGTGAGACCTCTAAGTGTTAATTGCTTATCTCGTAATGGGAGGGCGTTGAAGGGTGTTTTTGATGTATGTTGCTTTTATTAATTGCCCCTACAAAAGGGGAGGATACTGTAATCTATTAAATCAGCTGCATACAAATTTTAACCATTTATGTTCTTGTCATTTACGATATATTTATAATATGGATGTACTTCCTTTTTCTCCTTAAATTGCAGGTAATTCACATTTATTGTATACCCAAGCGCGAAGGCTAAACTCTAACAACAGGTTTGTGCAAAAGGCGGAAGGCCGCATAATGGGGCAAATTAATCTACCATTTTCATCCGACTGTCTAGATGAACCCATATATTTCGAAGACCATTGAATCCGTAGTGACTAGGTTTATTTTTTATGGTTATTTTACACTTTTAGTTGTTGTTTTAATATTTCACCAATTAGAAACGCACCGCAATTTAGAATTTAACGTAAAGAGCTCTATAGGCAAAAATTTATATAATATCTAAGAATATAATATAATTCCAAATAATAAAGTTCAATCAAAATACTCTACATAGAAAAGAAATAAATTATAACTAAATATTGTTTAAATATATTGATTTCCAACATAAATTCTTGACTGTAATCTCAATTACTAAATTATAGAAAAAACTGGAAAGTTCAATAAATTATTTATCATAATTATTTTGTTTAAGCCCATTAGATTTCAAATATAAGAAAATAAAATTGTTTAAAAAAAGTGAACGTAATATAAGAAAATACAAGAATATTAAATGAAATATTTATCAAAATATTGTTTAAAAACATGGCAACTTTCAGATTAAATAGCTTTCCGTTTATCGGTTACCCGTTTAATTTTCTATCAGCCCTGGTCGCTGCTACAGCTGATCCAATTGGACAACAGACATTATCAGTTGCGTTAGCGTCAAAGTGCACGAAAAGAGGTGCGTTGAAATATTCGTTTATTTTGTTTAGCTATCGAAATAAAACAAATTGTAATGCAATATATTGAAGATATTGATTTTACAATTATAATAATTAACTAAATGTCTTGAATTTTAGCATACATACATACATAGATTGATTTAGAAGTAGAAATACTTATGCATACATACTGTGTAGATGTGATATAATTTTTGACCTATTGCTCTCCTTTAGTAACTATACAAACGTAAAACCATGGCCCTGCGTCTGCAACATTTAAATCCGAAAAGGACGCTTTTCCTCTTGTGCGACATTCAGGAGAAGTTCCGACCCGGCATGCCTCTTTTCGACAACATGGTGAAAAATGCAAATAAATTGGCAAGTGAACTTTATAACGACCGACTTATCGCACACAAGTCCACCAAGATAAGGCATTACTATGTATTTGCAGACAAGAGCGGGCAAAGAACTAGAAGTGCCATTGATTGTAACAGAACATTATCCTGAAAAATTGGGTAAAATTGTGCCAGAACTGGATGTAAGTCACGCCAAGGCTGTGGTTGGGAAAACTCTATTTAGCATGATGGTTCCCGAAGTAAAGAACACAATGAAGCAGTTGTTTGGCGAGAAACCCGAGTATGCCGTCCTCTACGGTCTGGAGGTGGGTGTGTAGCATAATTTGAACGACTTTTCTAAATAGCTAATGTTTCTCCATCTACCCAGTCACACATTTGCATTGAGCAAACCGCCATTGATCTGCTGCAGCAAAACATAAACGTTTATATTGTTGCCGATTGCTGCTCCTCGCGTTTAACGCAGGATCGTGATTTGGCTTTGGATCGATTGCGTCAAGCTGGATGTGTGGTGACCACCAGTGAGAGTGTTATCTTTAATCTGATACGCGATAAGAACAACCCCAAATTCGATGTAGTACGAAAATTGGTTGCTCAGCCTTCGGTGGACATGCAATTGGGTCGCTTTTCTGGCAGTGCTAAACTATAAAACTACCATCCCTATTAATGAATCCGGATTGCATTTATATAAGAAATACATTTATACGTGGTCATGCTTATTATTGGCAACTCTTATTTTGTTGCTTCGCCAGAACCAGAATTCGCCCATTCGACAGGCATTTATCTGGTTGTTGTCCCATCTCACAGTTGTCATATTTAAGTTGTCGTTTCCGTAACACATTCAGTTGCTTGCCATTCAGACCAAACAATGAAATAACGTATTTGAATTCAACATTTACAATGGCTTTAGTGGCATCCCTTCCGGTATGAGCAGCCCTTTTGCAGCTCCTTCCTCCCACTCTCTCTCCCTCTCACTGTTCTCTTTTTCTATGAAGTGTACCCCCAGCCTTACTACGCTCTGACCATAATATGACAATGCGTATTTTATGGACACGCGCCAGCGACCAACGTCGAGACCCAGCCCTCATTCTTCCGACTTGCCCCTTTCAGCAACCCACTTTGCATTGATTATTGCAAAATCTTGTGTCGTAAACTTTTATTTTTACGACTCAGAGGCACTCACACACTTCGCGCTCTTTCTAAATGGCAATTGAATTGGAAATGGTTTACATTGTTATATGGCTAGTGACGTCGTTGGGGCTTTGGGCTTTGTTCCTCCTTGCGTGGATGCGCTTGGATGTAGGCCAATGCCTTGAGTATGGCCTCAGGAGTTGGCGGCGGGGTGGGCAGCAAGTCACTATTTGGGCGGTAACCGCGTTCATCTGCTGTGTAGGACACCTTAACGGGAACTCCCTCCTTAGACACAAAATGATATTCGCCCTTAACCTGATGCTCATCTCCAGCTTCGCCTGCCCCAATTCCATTGGTTATGTCGAAACCATACTCGAAATGTCCCTTGCCGTCCTCCTTTTTGAATTGCTTCTGCACGTGGGCATGCGCATCATCTTCGCTGGCGGCGCAAGAGGCAATTAAAATGGCAATAACAAACTGCAGGACAACATGATGGTCAGTATCGGGCACTCGAAATCCTATTTATACTTACTTGTTTAAACATTTTGGAAAATTTGCTTGGTGCGACTGTTGCCAATATTGTGTCTGATCGGATGTTTTTATACAAAATCAAGCCTTATAATGAGCCTATAAAATCTGAATTATTAAAAAAAACCGGTTATAAATGTATTGCCGGTCAATTGCCGCATAATTAAGTGTAACGAATTTGATGTTTACACATGCGCATTTAATTTTATATTGGCACTTGCAAATATTTATTCTCAACGCATTTTATTACGATTTTTTTATGTAATTATAACAAACTTTACCCTCTTACATGGTGTCATGCCTGCTTATTTAAATTCACTGGTAAAAGTTAATCCACAATGGGATGAAAACCGGTCGAATCTGCCCGATATTTTACAATTTTTCCATCGGGTAAAACATATTCGCCTTGTACTCCGTTCACATTGCCAGCAGCCTTTATGCTAATCCCGTTGCTCGTTGCAAATCCATTCTCAAAGTTACCCAATTCATCCTGCTTTTGATATGAAGAGGTAAGTTCTGCCTTCTGATCGTCCTCATTGGCACACGCTAGCGCTAGCAAAGCGCAACAAAAAATCAAAGTCTATCAAATGAATTATAATAAAATATTTAACTAAAATTGATCCCAAAGTGAAATTAAAACACAACTTACGAATTTCAACATAATGAACTATTTTCAAAGTTGGCCGATGACTAATCTTTAAAATTAAAACGCTATAAAATGGGCTACCTCTATTTATACTAAAACGAAGGCGGTGGCTCAGTATTGAGACATATTAAACGGGTTTTAGCCATCGCTGTTAATGACTTAATTATCAAACAGCCATGAATTTGCATATAATGCTGGTTTGCTTTGGATGATGCAGGCGGGGGCGGTGCCGAAGGAGTACGTGTACCAACTACCATCGAAAACATCTGGTGTTGACGTTATGAAGGGCTCATTAATTCTGCCTCGACTTTTTACCACGCCATTTTGCTAATTGGAACGGAAGCTGTTTAGAATTTTAGCATTTCACGACTAAGCATTGTAAGCAATATATTAAATTTATTTCTGCCATTTTAAAACGCATGTCTGTCGTAGGGAAAATAAAAAATTTATATAAAATAGAAAATATAACTCAACTTCGTAAAAATAATGCGTTTGCAAGGCTTCAGAATTTACGATTCTGGCCGCTTCTCTCAGCGGTATTGCGGTCCAGTGTCACTTTCGCTTGATTCATTAAATCACGATGGCCAAGAATTTTTGCTACTCCATTTAAATAATGCGGCTTTTTAATGGATGACGGCTCAATAGTTTTCTTGCTTTTGGATACATTGCCATTTCCGCCTACTGAGGGATAAAATTGTGATACTTGTTGGTCCAACATTTTCGGATCCATACAACTCGGCTGATTGATCTCCTCGTTTGGCTTATTAAAATATTTGTCATAAAATTTTTTTGCCTCTTTGTGTGCTGATGATTTTAGTGCATTCATATCCCAACTGACACCCAATTTGGACCTTATTTCATCCGATATATCGCTTTTCGACGAAAACAGCTCACGAAACATATTTTTCATTTCAGTTGATTTTTCATTATCTGCTGATCGCATTGCTCGCAAACGTCTTAGCTTAAGCAACCGTTTTTTGGAGTTCGCTATTCGTTGCGTCTCTTTAGAATGTAGTTCGCACTTTTGTAACCCTTCTATATTTACATGGAGCCCAGTTTCAAGTTCTTTCGGCAAGTATCCACGGCTTTTGAGATACACAACTGGTGACAACCAATTGTCAATAAGATCGTTAACAATTTCATTTACACAGTTCTTATAGCCGAGTACTTTAACTCTTCTGCCGTCTGTTTCTAGTCTCTGCGGCATGTTTTTATCCAAAGCAAGAAGTGTGTTGGCCCTAATAACTGTAAGAAATATATGCAAACACCTGCGAAAAATTTGAGGAACTTTCTACCATTGTCTAAAATGTATTATTAGTTTACCATAAGAAACAATTCATTGTAGAGATTTAAATTTCCAGGAGAATAAATGTATATCGAGTGTCAAAACGTCTCATTCGATAAAGTCAAACTGGATTTCTGTCGTTATTTGACAGTTACTGCTTATGCAGCCCTGGCCTGAAATTCAACAGCTGTTTTGTTTGTGGTCACAATTTTGGGAAATTGAGTTGCAGTTTACGCATTTAATTGCGGTTACAACGCTTTTGCAATAAACGTAAAGCAAAAGCATAACCAAAACAATGGTCATTACCAACAAAACAACGCTGCCAGAAGAGTCAGAGTTGGATGTGCAGGAACTAAACCTCTCGTCCGCAGCTCTACGTGCAGGCTCTTTCCACTTAGGCAAACAATGCGAAACAGCCAATAATGTGAGTATTTTTTAACATTAATATGCATAAAATCAGTTGGCTGAAATTATTCGCCAAGTATTTCCATGGACATTGCTCAAAAGTCGTTCCACTACACTACAACAATAAGCAGTTATATAACATAACCTCAAAATTATACATTTATGGGTTTGTTTATGTTTACGGTCTGCTTATTTGCAGGAGTTTATGCTCTGTCGGCAAGAACTGGACGATCCACGTGCTTGCCTGGCCGAAGGACGGGCTGTTACCAGCTGCGCACTTGACTTTTTCCGTAAGGTAAAGAAGAGCTGTCATGAAGAGTTCATGCAGTATGCAACTTGCTTGGACAAAAGCAGCGGTACCATGGCATTCAGCCAGTAAGTTTAAGAGACAATTATCAATATTGTAAGTAGTATTATTGTAATGTTATTTGCAGCTGCCGCAATACTCAGGGTGTTTTCGATAAGTGCATGAAAGATAACTTTGACTGGGATCGTCCGTCTTATGGCTACTTTGCGCGTGCCAAGGTAAATTTAATGCAGTTTACTAATAGTTTTTTTTATTAAATAATATTTTTTGATTAGGTCATTCAATCGGCTCGTGAACCACCAAAGAAAGAAGAACTCAAATCGTACCCGGATGCTTCGCCCGCACTGCCAGAAGACTATCCAAAGCCACCAGCAAAGTACGGCTCACGTTTCCATTGGCTGGAATAGACAGCACCGCTTAGTGAAATTGAGGCATTAATTTAAATGGGCCATTGACCTATCGTGTAATTAATAACATGCATAAAATCTTGTTTCCATTAGTATTTAAAGCTTTTAATTCGTTAAATTTAGCGCACTTTAGTTCTTGACAACATTTCTTTAATATGCTCCATGATCTCCAGATACTGATTGTTGAGACAGCAACCGCAATAGCTTATCGGGAAGCAAGCGCTGCCTTCGATGCGTCTTTGCAATGGCATATTCTGATAGAAGACCCATGAAATATTCTCCTCACCCAGCACTAACATAATCTTGTCAAAGCGGTTTCCATGCACAGTGAAGAGACTAACGTCGCCAGTTGCGATGCGCCAATCGCAGTACCGTATGTTGACATCCGGTGGCAGATTCGCTCGCTCCCGCATCATCACATGCTCATACCAATCGCGCACTTGTGTGATGGAAACGGTTAGCGGGTGCTTGCGTAGCTGGTAAGTAATCCGAGGATAGAGTGGATGGCTAGATGAAGTTTAATTTTCCGTTAGACAATTTTTTAGAGCATTTACTTTATTTTTCTTACATATACGGTATATAGGAGAGACGCACAAATACGAATTCAAATTTTTCCCGTGGTGCCATCTTTGATAGTTTTAATAAAGTTCTTCCAGTTTATAGCGCACATACGCTGTGTAGGGACTGCTAGGCAATACTATCGTGAGTTCGCAACAGGATGGTCTAAATATACCGAAAAAATGTAACAAAGCAGGTAGTGACATTAACCTAACTTGAGACTTAACTAGATTCAATGCAGCTGGAATCGTGATCTAAATAACCTTTTTACCTGTAAAACACTTTGACCTAGCCAATTGTAAACCATTTTTCCGTATTTATCTCATTTTATTGCTAACATATAATATTTAACCATTTTCTTAATCTGCGTACCATTTCGTACGCTTTGGTTTCTTAACTTTGCCATCTTTAACACCCTTTATATTAGTGCCATCCTCATTTCCACTTATCATATTTTTATATTTGTTTATTAAAGGCCGCAGGTCATCTTTCTCATTTTTGCGTCCTTGTTTCGGTCTATTGGACGACTTTCGCTCGGCCAGGTGGGTTTCCCTTATCTTTTTGTTCTTCTGTTTGCGTTTCTCCTTCTTTACACGTTTCATGTGCTCCTCCGCCTGTTCCTTGATCTTTTTGTTAGAGCGCATACGTAATGATGTGCCCGGTTTTGCTGCTGTCCCCACATATCCATCGTCAAAGTCACTTGTTTTTTTCTCTGGTATATCGTTTCCATTAACTTTGGCGGCACGTGTTTTTTCCAACTTCTTTATTTGTTTCTGCACTTTGACTTTATTATCGGTTGGCGGAGCTAGGCGCGCGGTCTTTGAACCAATCCGTTTTTGCTGACGACGTTCTTTTTGCTCCTTCAACTTAGACTGATACGTGGGATTGTTTTGTTTCGAGCGTTCATTGCGCTTCTCTTTGATTTTGTGTACGGCGCGATCTTCAATACTAAAAGCCACAATAGGTCGCTAAAAAAATAGGTATTAATTTCATATAAGATTAGAGCTATCATCCACTTACGTGCTGCGTTCCAAATATGCTTGGGTTATTGTTTAGCTTCCTTAATGCAGTTAGTGCCCTTTGGTGAGACTCGAATGAAAGAAAACCGAAGCCCTTGGATTTACCCTGTGGATGCTCAGGAGTAATCTTCTGTTCGCGCATTACACGACACTCATGTGGACGAAAGCCGGTGTAAGCCAGGGCCATTTGTTTCAGTTTCTCATTGTCGTAGTTTAATGGAAGATTGTGTATGGACAATCGATTGCGGGAAACGAAACTATAAGTAAAAGATTATGAACGTTTCTGCATTCTACTTGTTTTGCTAAATTCTCACCGATTGAGGTTCTTTAAAACCTGTGTTTTAACCTGTTCCAGCTGATGCCTCTTGCTCATGTCTGCGGCAGAAACGCCCTCGGCAGCCTTGGATCCGGCCATTATGAGACCTTCTCGGGCCAAATATAAATTTCGCGAATCCTTTCCGGCGTCTTCTTTTGAGCTTTCCGATTGCTTTGTTTTAATCTCATCTCGACTGAGCGCTGGATTGGGCTCCAACACCTGGTCCATAAGTACGAATTCGACGCCCGCTTGTAAACAAAGATCCGCAGATTCTTTTGTTTTGAACTTCACGAATGCCGTTCCTTTTGAGTGTCCCGATATATGTTCGCGATTGATTATGGCATACTGAACAATGCCAAATTTACGGCAAATCTTTCTAAGGTCCGCATCTTCGGCATCAAAGGGCACATTTTTAATAAATACAGTGCAACCTTCTTGCACATCGTTTGAAATAAGTTTCTCCTTCTTGACTGGCTCGACTTTCAGCTTTGACTTTAGCTCATCCTTATCTTCATTGTCTTCACTGCCGTCATCCTCATTTTCGGACCCGGATTCGGACTCCTCGTCTTCTGTCTTTGTGTCGACATGAGGTTCCTTTTAAATTATTGATATTTCATAATTCACTTCAAACAATATTACGTTTACCTACCTTAGATTTATCATTTCGATCATCATTTTCTCCATCCTCTTCTCTCTCCTCATCATTTACCTCAACTTTCGGCTTTTTGTCATCCGGCTCGTCATTCTTTGGGTGTCTAAGGGTGTAATCATCTTTTCCCAGCGCCCAGTCAACGAACACCTGTCGTCCCAGGAACTCCTTGCCGTTGGCCTTCAGAATTGCCTTGGTAGCCTGATTTATTGTATCGTACTGGATGAAGGCGCAACCGACCAGCTTGCCATCCGCTCGTTTCAGTATGTTTACTTCTACCAGAGTACCCCATTGCGAGAAATACTCGCGGAGAGCTTCGTCAGTGGATTTGTAGCTAATGTTACGAACTATGAGACGGGAGCGCTTCTTCTGCCTGCGTTCCTTTTCCTCCTTTAGGCGCTGTGTATTAAACGGATTGCGCCGCTTTATGGGTTTGTTCTCCGTTTCTTTATCGGATGCCGATTCCAATGGCTTCTTCTGCTTAAGCTCCATTATGCCGTAGTTGCACGTGGAATAACAACCAATTGGTGCTGCCAACTAAATCAACAGTGATTTACGGTGCTACCACATCACCGAATCCAAAACGTTTTTTAGAGCATTTGACAACTCTGTAGCTTAGCCTTTGTCATAGTTGTCATTTTTAAGCGTCCTCATTGAATGAAACCGCCAAAAACAACGCAAGCTTAAGATAATAAAACTTCAATAAATAAATAGCTAATAAATATGGACAATGGTGCAACAAAAAGACAAAAGCGTGAGGTTCGCTCATATTTAATGTCGCGTGAACCGAGTATTGACCGACGCTTCCGGCCGCGTCCCAACAAACAGCTCCGGTTAACTTTTAACGACATTAACGAATCGGGTGAGAGCTGTTCTGATTGCTCCGACACAGAATCCGATTACGCGGCTACAGTAGACGATGAAGCAACTAAGACAACTGTCACAGAGTCTAGCGATGTTGAATCTGGGCCACAAGTGTTTCTGCGTTTACGACCCGTTGAAACGCCATCGAAGTCCTACACAATCTCAGATTGCGGCAGCGTTTTTATCACTGGCGCCTCTAATGAAAACAGCAGCAACAATGTGACGAAATCCAACATGGAGAAACACTACAGTTTCACATCGATCTTCGACAGCATGGTCGGTCAACGGGACATTTACGATATATGCGTGGGTCCAAAGATTCAGGAAGAAGAAAGTGTCACGATTATGGCATACGGCACATCTGGATCGGGGAAAACATACACATTGCAAGGTATGTACTTGTTCAGCTAATCAAAATGCTGGTGCAATTAATAATTATATTGTGCCTTTTTGCAGGCGACAATATGCGGGCTGGCATAATACCACGTGCGTTAGCCCATATTTTTGCACTTTACGGTTGCGCCTTGTATCCCAAGCCACAGCTGAAACTAATAAATGCAAGTACAATCATACTGGAGGACGATGCGGCAATAAAGGAAATGCAACTACGTCGCCAAATACTTGCCGTGTGCCCGGATATTCAGGCGCAATTTCAACGTTTCCAGCTAGTGATACAAGGCGATCATACGTTTGAAACGAAACCCATGACGGACGTATCTGTAATGATTTGGGTCTCATTTGTAGAGATCTACAATGAAAATGTGTATGATTTGTTGGCCTTATCGCCGCGTCAGGCCAATATGGCTGAACCACCGCGCAAAAATCTTAAGATCGTTTGCAATAAGGGTCAGGTTTTTATCAAAAGTTTGACAAGCATTTTCGTAAAGAGCAGCGAAGATGCCTTAAAGCTACTCAAATTCGGGCAGCAACGCCTAACCTATGCATCTACTGCTGTCAATGCCAATTCAAGCCGATCACATTGCGTGTTCTTTGTTGACATTTTGAAATTCTATCGCACCGGCTTAACTACTCAGACCTCATACAAATTTTGCGATCTTGCTGGTTCCGAGCGTGTCGATAAGACCGGTACTATTGGTTCGCGCCTCAAGGAGGCTCAGCGTATCAATACCTCTCTTATGGTCCTGGGTCGTTGTCTAGATGCGGCAAGCTCCTCACGCAAAAAGCCCAATCCCGACGTCATTCCATTTCGTGAGTCAAAACTCACAACTCTGTTGCAGGCTCCTTTGCTGGGCAGGGAGCGTCTAGCAATGATTGTAACTGTCTCACCGCTGGACAAATACTATGAGGAGAATCTGAATGTTTTGAACTTTGCTTCCATTGCAAAGAACATAATTTTTAAGGAACCCATTATAAAGCAACATAAATCCCGATACTCTGCATTCGCAGATTGCTCCCAACAAGTTGGTCCTGATCGCATATACATTGAGGAGTTGGAACAAGAGAACATTGAGTAAGCTATGCCGAAACAACATACGCTTTTTTCAATCTGATTTTAATACATTTTTATTGCAGATTACGCGCTGAAATTGAACAGATTAAATACGAGCATGTGCTCCAAATGCAACTGAAGGAAGAGCAACTTCGCAAGGAACTGACAGATACGTTTAAAGAAAACATGGAATTCAATTTAAAACAGAGTGAGGAGCGTATGGAAAAGAAGTTGCAGATGCAGCAACGCGAATTTGAAGTTCAGGTAAGAGGAATATCTGCCTAAAATTGCTATTAACAAATAAATGTATTTGTATAATTATTTTGTGATCCAACTTCGTTTCAGTTGGCTTCAATAAAGCGACAATATGAGGACAAAATTGAGGACTTACAAGATGAAATTGAAGAACTAAAATCTGCGAATAGTGATATCGAAATAATTGATGATGAATAGTTGTCCGAATGGAATATTTTAAAAGGTTTAAAATTTAATTGTGTAAACGAAAAAGATTTGTTAGTTGTATTGTAATTTCTGTTAAAAAAAAGGTTCTTTTTAAATATAAAATAGTCGTACTTTTAAACACTTTTTGCAAAAGCATTTTTATTCAAGTTTTAATTGTTCTCCACTTCATCGTCAGTTTTCATTTAATTTAATATTGGTTTTTTACGTTTGTTAATAAGTAGGTATTTTAAATATGTTATAATTAGTATTTTTCAATGGAATTATATATATGTATATTTATATTCATGTATGTATTGTATGTCTGTCTGTGTGTGTGCTTTTGTGTAGCTTTCATTTTATTTAGTAGTTGTCATCAAGGGGTCAAAGGGCACAGATCGCGTGACCCAATGCGTAAGTAATATATTATTTTAATGTCTCATTTAGCAAAATGTGCAAAATAGAAAATTTTGTTGTCTTGATTACTTTGCTTGCTTTCTTGCTTTGTATATAGGTAGCACAATAATAGTTTCAATTTTTGTTAAACGTTCAAAAACGTTCGTACTCACTAAAAATTTAGCATGTATAATTTAGTACTATAAAATGTTCTCTTTCAAGGTTTTCTTTTTCTATTTGGGCATTTATTTCATCATCAAGGTAAATTCTGCAAAAGCAATTACCAAAATTAGGCTTTAATTTTAATAATAATAAAAATACATATGTTGTTGCATTTGCTTTGCAAACGAAAATTGTTTGTACATTTGCATAAATATTTCGATCTCTTTACATAATTATGTAAATTCATATTGCATACATGTGTGTGTATTTGTTTTAATATAAAATAATACCTCGGCTCCTTTATATGGATATAGATCAATCCGGGGTGGAGTTTTTGTTGTTCTTTTTTTTGTGTATAAGATTGCGCAAATACTTATTTAAATAATAAAAATCGTGTCGAACAAATATAATAAATATTGTTTTCTAAAACTCGCTTTCATTCTTACTATTTCAATTACTATTCTTTTGTTTTTTGTTTAGTTTGTTTTTTTTTTTTTCTTTCGTTTGTTTTCTATACATTGTGTATGTCTATGCGCAAATATCTAATTTTACAAATTTCACTTGTGTTTTCTATTAATTTTTTTTTGTTATTTTCTGTTTAAAAATTAAGCTCAATAATCTTAAATTATTAATTTTCTTTTCCTGTTACTTTTTATTCAAGTGCTGAGCTTGTTTACACGCATTTGTTGCATTGTCCAGTGTATTTGTTTTTAAGTGTTTCAACATTATATTGCATTGCCTACACATATTTTGTAATTATATATGCATAGTGTGTGGTTGTTGTATAGTTTTTTGTTTTTTTTTTTTGCTGCTTCAAAACAATTTATAATTAATTACACAAATTATTGTAATTGCTAAAACTTTAATACTCATGTATTTGCACGCGTGGGATTTCCCCTTTTATTGTGTATTCTTTTGTTTTTGTTCTTTCTTGTTAGTGTTGTTAGTTTCGGGTCGTTTAAATATATATGTATGAATTTTGCATAATTTGCACTTATTTTTTTTGTTTTATTTATTTATTTAAGAGTTAGTGTGTATGTGAGTATTATAAACGCTTTTTAAACTACCGCGTTAAATGTGTAATGCTTTTCCTTTATATGTATATATATTTATATAAATATATGCAAAGAGGGTGCGTTAAATGTTAATAGAGTTTCACACCAAATGTGTTTAATATATAATTTTTCATTTGACTTCCCATATCAGCTCCTAAGTAGTATAGACGATACTCTCACCACATTCTAGATGCCTGATGCTGATCCTTTCTGATCTGCCGTTGTCTTGTGTTGTAGGTGTATAAATATACGAAGTGTGTGTATAAGTAATTTGTTCTTTAAGCTAGAAGCTGCCACTAAATTCAACAGTAAAGACAAACATCTAATCAAAAAATACAATATATGTTCTAATGAATGTTAAGAGAGAGTTTGTGTGTGTTACTTTCTAAATTCTAGAAGTATAATATTTATGTTGTGGTGTGTCTGTGTGTATATAATTTGAATTTTTGTTTAAGGTCTACGTCTATCAACTGTGTTGCAACCTTTATGCCTATGTCTAAATGTCAATGTGTCAATGCCTAATTGTCTGCTAATTGCGGTTCTCTCTGTTTTATATGTTCCGCTTCGTCTTGCACAATTTTCTGTCATAACTTCTGTTAAATATGTGTATATATGTTTTTTTTTTTTGTTTGTTTTCGTTTTTAAATAAATATTGTGTACCGTTTGAATTACGATAGAGTTCTCTCAAAGTATAAACTACCAACGTTTGCCAATTTAATAGAAGAATATTTGTCCCGCCTTCTGACGCTTGCGCTCCTCCAACTTGCGATTAATTTCCTGCTGACGTTCAGCCTTGCTCAAGGCCCGTGCTACATACAAGAACTTGTTGTCGCCGAGCTGCTTGCCATGCAGCCCAATTACGGCGGCCAGCGCCGATTGTGGGTTCTCAAAAGCCACAAATCCAAAGCGCCGCGAGCGTCCCTCCTCATCAAGCATTAGCTGAAAAGTAGAAAATTACTTGGATTAGTGTTCAACTCCGGATTTTTTTAAGGGTTCATTCTTTACAACTTTACAAAAATGCAGAGCTTGCTAGTTCTGGTAGCAAAAGGAATTTTTCCTTAAGATAATTTGACCAATTCCAGTTAATTTCTTTTACAGACTTTTGGCTTCAAGCTAGCTACTTCGGTAGATAACAATTCCGCCATCAAATATCAACCACAATCCATTTCCGCGCAAAAGCTATGTAAATATTCTTCACATTTTTGTAATAGAAAAACATTCAAGATGTTTCTAAATTTGTGAGACGCACTGTTCGGCCATCGTCTTTATATATTTTACTTTCGTCATCTACATTCTTAAGCACAGTTGTTGATAACATAAATTAAGGAGCCAATTTTTATCAATATTAAATCACAGTTGCCCCCTAGCCACCAGAAGAAGAATTAAAGTTATGTCCAGTGAATGAATCAGCTAGTCGGTACAATGAGTTCTCCACAAAAATCAAATTTCATTTTGATAAAAATGATTAACTTATATCGGCATTTTGCATTACATGGAAATCAATAGTAGTGGCAGGCACAGGGGTTTTCAATTCGCTAGGCCTTGAGTTCCGAAATAAACAAATATAACCATACAGCTACGTCCCCATCATCCCAAACACTCATATAGCCAAATGCAATCGGAACACATTTTGATGCTCCCTTAAAACCACATTTTAGCAACGGACATGCGCAACGCACAGACTGTGCGCATTTTAAGAGCACGGAAAGTTGCCTCATAAGAGCCGTACTTAAAACTGTGCCACATGGTTTTTCATCTGCATTTAAGCCCATACTACACACCCACATATACAATAGCCCACAGAACACATTTAAATAATTAAAAGTGGACAAACAAAACTATACGCACCTTGTGACTTGTAATACGTCCATAGGGCTCAAACATTTCCCGCAAGTGCTGCTCGGTGAACTCCTCGCTGAGATTCTTCACATACAGATTTTTAAAATGAGTTGCCTTCTCTTGTTCTCGGTCCCGACGTGGTATGAATTTTACGACATGAACCTTCTGGTTGTTGCACAGCATTCCATTGACCTTTTCTATAGCCGCACGAGCAGCGTCCTCCGAATCGAAGTGCACAAACCCGTAACCGCGCGAGTTTCCATCTTCATCCTTGGCCACATTGCAGTTAAGAATGTTCCCAAACACGGAAAAAGTGTCGTATACCGCCTTGTTGTCAATAGATCGCTCTAGGTTTTTGATGTAAATCTTGCCACTATCTGGAGAGCTATTACTGCTGCCGCTGCTTCCGCTGGCCAGTGCACCCGTAGAGTGCGACGAGCTGGAGGTGTGCCCGCTGTTCAAGGAGCTGTGGCCATGGCGACCAAGCACGGCTGCTGCGGCTAGATGATTGCTGGCCGCATGACCACCGCCAACGCCATGGCTCAAGTGCCCGGCAGCGGCATGATGATGCAGCTGCTGTTGATGATGCGCCGCTGCTGCGGCCAGCGTATGATGGTTCAGCGCGGGCTGCTGCTGGTGGTAGTTGGCCGGGTTGCCACGGAACGTCATTGAGTTGACGAACATTATGGGTGGTGGTACAACTGCTGGCTGTTTGTGGAGCGTGGTGGCAGCTAGTAAGGTGTGTAAGGTATTGTTCTGATAGCTGATAATTTTGACGGTATGTGAAAGCACGCTGTCTTGATTTTGGCTCCTTTGATTCGGCGTTGATGCGTTTTAGATGTGCTTTAAATTTTTTTTTCAAATTTCAATAAGTTGCAATCCAATTGTCAACGCAAAATATACTCAACTCACCAAATTCTTTCTTAGTTTTTTTTTCTCTGAAAAAATCGTTTTTCTCTCGCCCAGACTCTTTTTTTCACTTCTCTCTCTCTCTCGCTCTTGTAATTTTCTGGGACTGGCTTTCACTTTTGGCTCACTAACTTAACGCGTTGCAAACAAAAAGATGCTTCTTATTCTACGTTACAGTTATAAAAAACGTGTCAATAATATCGGCGTATTAATTTTTATTGTTAATTGTGAGTTTGTAATAAAAAAAACCTTATATGTAATCTGTTTCTGCCGAGCCAGCTATGGATGTACAAAGTTACGATAGATATATAATCGATGTTTTTAATGCTTTTCGATTGTAAACAATGCAAGGGTGCTGCCAGATCTGCTGTACGTTTCCCCACTTGCTACTATTTTATTAGTAATTTATTATGAATGGATGTGGATATGCTGGAGGATAGCGTCAGTTCAAGCCCGACAGCGGAGAATACCAACGACTCCATACATTCACAGAGATACCGCAGAAGAACAAGGCGTAAGATTTTCGAGAACCACAATCGGGAATTGCGGACCCAAGATATTGAGGCAGAGGAGGAAGATTTATGTCAGGCCGACCGTTTAGATTGTCTACGGGCACGTCATGAGCGGCAGAAACAGTACCCGCCGGCCTCGATGCAATTTGTAACGGCGGAGAGCCAATTGCAACGAGAGCATACAGAGTCGGATGATATTGCATTAGGATTAACCAATACTGAACTCATTATTTTGTGCAATGAAGTCGAGCAGCAGACGGCAAACATAGACACTATTGAGCAAACTTCAGAATCAATCGTGCAAACGATACTAGATGATTTCTGCTCTTCGCCTTCAGATGTGCAAGAAGATTTGACAATATCATTCATTTATCCATACTACCGTTTTCGCAATAAAAATACGTTAACGTACAGCCGGACAACTCGGAGACGACAGGACACGACACAAGAACGTGAAGACGATCGACTCTCTTGTTCTTCGGAACTGTCCGTACAGGAAGATTACACTTCATATGTGCCCACTGCAGCAGTTTTAAGCAACTGGGATGCCAATAGCTCACAGAGAATTTGCGAGAATTTGTTAAATCTAAGTGCATGTCTCTCAGAACATGGTCCAAACCTCGATAAATCCGCCCATGATTCAACATCTCCTTTTTACGAAACAGCACAAGGCTCAATCTATGGAACATCTAGACAGGATCTGCCACGGGGGTCTTCAGCAACGAATGTGCAGGACAGAACACTGCAAGATATGATTTCAAGTGGATTACCATTGGTCGGTGATGAGAAATGTAAAGGAGACAAAGAAATAAATAAGGCCTTCAATATGGGACATGACGGTAATTCTTGTAAATATATTTAGTGATAGCTTCATGTAACTTCCTATTATATTTTTTAGACAAAAGCCTAATCAAACAGAAAGCGCCACCAATTTCTCTCCCGCACTCGTCAATTAAAACAAACGTAATCGATGAAGATGTGTCTAATGGTTCGTATATTAATTGAATTAATTAGGCTATTGAACTTACATATCGTATTTTTTAGAGCTGAACCAAAAGGAGTGGTCCGATGACGATAGTTCCTTTTTCTTACATTATAATACGCAAGATCCAGCAACAAAGTCTATTGATAGTTGTAATGGTAAAGAAAACCAAGACGTTAACGCACTGCACGTTATAGATTCATTACAATCAAGTCTATCTTCAATTGCAAATCGAGTACCTGATGTGAAGCTGCAAGCACTAACAGAAATCTTTTGCAAAAAGGGTTCAGAAAATGAAACATCGAAGCATCATTCAAAGCCAGTCCAACACTCTAAAATTCCTTTAAATGAAACAATAATTTTAGACGAATTCTCCCATAAAAATAAGGGAACGGACATTAATGAAAATGGTGTTAATATATTTGATATGACGCTTAGCGAATGGCAGCTGCTACCAGATCTTTCGGAAGATACAAACGCAATGTCAAAAGAAGTACCAAGCTACATGAAAGAATGTAAAGCTGATGCCACGCCACATTCCCCAAATCAATTAAAGGGTATCCACCTAGTCAATGAACACAAAAATGGACTTGAGTATAAGCGACAAGTCAAAGATTTTCGCTCCACATTTGAAAAAATCAATCTAGTGTCGGAAAAGACTGGAAAACATGGGGACATAATTTCTGATTGTCAGGATATGGGAGGATCTCGCACATCATTCAGTAAAGCCGTTCCAGAATCTGACATAATGAAATACCAACAGACTGATATTCCTGAAACGATGGGATTTCGTACTACATCGGATAAAGCCATCGTAGTATCTGATGAGGCGCTAAAACATGGTGCGAAGATTATTTCAGACATCATAGAATACCAACAAGTTGATGTTCCTGAAACGATAGGATTTCGTACTGCATCGGATAAAGCCATCGTAGTATCTGACAAGGCACGAAAACATGGTGAGAAAATTATTTCTGACGTCATGGAATGTCAACAAGTTGATATTCCTGAAACGATGGGATTTCGTACTGCTTCGGATAAAGCCATCGTAGTATCTGATGAGGCGCTAAAACATGGAGCGAGGATTATTTCAGACATCATAGAATATCAACAAGTTGATGTTCCTGAAACGATGGGATTTCGTACTGCATCGGATAAAGCCATCGTAGTATCTGACAAGGCACGAAAACATGGTGAGAAAATTATTTCTGACGTCATGGAATGTCAACAAGTTGATATTCCTGAAACGATGGGATTTCGTACTGCTTCGGATAAAGCCATCGTAGTTTCTGATGATGCGCTAAAACATGGAGCGAAGATTATTTCAGACATTATAGAATGCCAAAAATTTGATGTTCCTGAAACGATAGGATTTCGTACTGCATCGGATAAAGCCATCGTAGTATCTGACAAGGCACGAAAACATGCTGAGAAAATTATTTCTGACGTCATGGAATGCCAACAAGTTGATGTTCTTGAAACGATGGGATTTCGTACTGCAGCTGATAAACCCATCGTAGTATCTGACAAGGCACGAAAACATGGTGAGCAAATTATTTCTGACATCATGGAATGCCAACAAGGGGATGTTTCTGAAACGATGGGAATTGGTTCTTTATACAATAAAGCCATCTTAGTATCTGATAAAGCGCAAATAAACGCGGATAAAGTGATCCTTGAAATAAAAGAGACAGTGAGTGGCCTTAATAAAAGCAAACTAGTTGAGATTCCAAAATTAGTGGAGTTACCTGCAATAGAAAAGGAGAGAGAAACAGATCATGATAGTATGAATTCTCATAGCAAACTCAAATTGTTATATAAGACACAAAAGGAAAACGATGATGTTTCAAATAATCATTCTGAATCAAACGTAGAACTTCAAAATACAGTTAATAGTAATATAAACCTGAAACGCAAACTACTTGATTTCAACGACACACCCACAACTCCGCTGAATGTCAAAAGGATGATGCAGAAATCAACTTCACAAAATATCCTTGAGACGCCAAGAACTATGCAACAGGAGCTGTCAGGACAATTAGCTGAATCGACGAATATGGACAACAACACACCGAATTCTATTATCTCTCGAAGAAATCTATCACTCACGATGCGTCGCAAAAAAAGAAGTAGCTCTACCGACGTTAGGAAACAAACGGATACCGTGTTAACACCAGTTAGGGGTTGCACCGAATTTTCTCCAGTCTTAACGTCGACCAGCACTCCATTGCCATCTAGAAAGGGAAATGGGAGTAACGGTGATGAAAATCTTGTCGACACACCTAAACCGAAGCAGGGGTCAGAATATCTAGAGGTTCCTTCTGGCTCGTCGTCATGCACATCAGCACATAAAACGCGCCGACTAGGTTTGAGATTCCCGCGAAAATACCCTAATTAAGTTTTGAATGATTTAATACTAGGGAAAAATACCAACTGTGGGTTGTCCATGGTAAAATCACGTTATACAACACTTTCGTATATGTGTATTTCCAGTACTTCTTCCAATTCCAGTTGGTAAGAAAATAAATAAAATCTGTTGTTATTGCATTGCTTTTGTAAAAAAGCATTGACAAGTAAAATAAATGAAAATTACGGCTGTGCATTAATACATATTCGTATGTTGAAAAGAATAACCAAAACATATCTAAAAGTCCAACATAAAACACTTTGTTTACAATGCAGACACAGCTGCCTAAGTGTTCCAATTGGAAATTAGTTGCTGCTACACATATGAGGCTGATGTTGCCTCAGCCCCATAAACGAAAGCAGAACAAATAACGACAATTAAAATTTGGGAAAAAGAGAGCTTTGGGAAAGTTAAGTCAGTGGAGCGCAGATCTAAGCAACAGAATCTATTGAATAACAGAATGACTTCATCGACGCATATGCAATACTTTAGGAATCTTATACTTTTCTTACTACAAAAAAAATGACGTTTTAACTGACGTTGCTCTTGTTCTCAGCGAAACGAATCGTTTAGGTGTAATTTTAATTGAGCAAGGCCATTTAGTAGTTGAGAGCACATAAAAATATATTTATATTTGTAAATATACATATGTGAAAATATATATAAACTACATGTATGTTTATAGATGTATACAAGCATACTGTTGACTGATAAACCGTTTTTGAGTGATAATGAAAATATACGAGTACAACCTACAGCACACTGTATTGTAGGCGATGCTCTCTAAATTCAACCACAAGCTTTATCAAAATATAAAACGCTCTAAAGGGAATTTGTGCGGTATAGCTTCGGTTTTATACTTACTCTCATAGTATGTATGTATGTATGTATGTATTTAGAGTAGAATGAAGTACATACAAGTATGTACATATTGATGCTTGTATGTATGTATATGTATAATCAGTTTTTCAAAACATTCCACAAACACCAAAACACAATGTACACCATCTAAAGTGTACTATTGTTGCGACTTGTCCCGCTGGCAAATAATTAGTTTCACTCGAATAGGTTTTTTGCTTTATTTTAAACATTTGTATTTATATGGCCAGGCTTTACGCTCTTGTCATTTCATTTATTGTCATTTGCAAGTGGCTTTAGAAAAGACACGTCAGTTGAACAAGTGGAGTTTATGTACATGTACAATAATTGCAGTATTATTTCTTCTCCAGCTTATTGCAGTCGGCAGCGGACTATCAAAGGCAATTCATATTCACCATGGCTGACGAATTCGATGGATGCCAGTGCGTTTGGTCGCATGAGTTTGCTATGCAAAGGCTTTTGAATTTTGTAAGTTTGATTCGCAAAAGGGAAAGTTAAGTCGATGTGTGTAAGCTCATATGAGTGTATGTCATTTGTGATACAGATACGTCAGAATCAGAATGCTTGCACCGATACCGAGTGCATCGATGGTAAGTGGACAGATTAATGCTTAAGGTGTTCTAATTATGAGAATTTTATACAATGTTAGTTAGCGGACGTGTGACGCAATCCACCACGGCTGGGGACAGCAACAGCTTCACTGTAGCCGTGATCTTCATGCTCTTGGCCATGTTTATGTATGTTGTGAATCCAAGCACCTGGCGTCAATATACCAAGAACAAGCCCAATAACAGCCGTCGTGATAATAATCAAGATGGCGCGCCGCCGCCACCGCAGCCACCACCACCGGCTATCAACTGAGGCGCTGCTGCCGTATGTAACATTTTTCCGAATGTTTTGCATTTTTGGTTCTTTATGCCAAACCATTAGACAAAATTTAAAAGATATAAATACCTAATCACATATATTTCTGAGAAACTGGTAACGCAATAAAACTAATGCAAACAAATCAAAAGACAGAAATGTGTAGCGTAGCAGTTACAAAATTTCGATATTCCTGGTTTTTAAATCAAATTATCATATACATTCATACATAAAAGCAATTTATATAACATATACATTCATAGTAATATTTTGCATTTGTTTATTATTTACTCAACATTGAATTTTGTACAAACTTAAACTACATACATATATAGCTATATGCTACCATACACATTAGCATGTTGTAAAAGAATATACAAAGAAAAATTTAACATCGACAGTGGAATCTCGTACATTGGTAAATAAATTTCCCAAAATTAATATAATAATAAATAAATATTTGATCAATTGGTTAATGCCACGTTAATACGGTCATTCATCTTCATTTTGTAATCGCACCATTGCGTCGCGCACATTTTTTAGCACTCCTTTCATTTGCTCGTATTTACCTGTAGAATCAGGCAAATTCTCGAAATTGATAACATCACTGACACCCTTTTTGAAATTATCACCCACTGGAAGTTTGTCATAAACAGAAAACTTGAGAATTGGCGTGCCAGCATACGAGGCTTTAAATGGCGTGGACGCTGGTATCTGTTCGGATGAACTTGATTCCAAAACAGTCGGAGATTTTGATGGGCTATCAACCGTCAAATTGCTAAGATCTATCGTACTGTTCGACTCTAATTGGTGTAATAATTGCGCTTGTTGTGCTTGCAAGTCTTCGAGTGTGGGTGATGGGGCACGTTCCTCTTTAGCCTCAGACTCAGTCGGTGGAAAACCCGGGGGCAATGGTTTTTTATATTCTGGAGGAGCTTCTGTTGGCAATGGAGGAGGTACTAGGGCAGGTTGGTCCTCAGCATCATCTTCCAATTCCATGTCCCCCACACCTAAGGTCGTGGAAGTTTCTGCCTTTGTTCCATCGTGTACAGTGGGTAGATTTTTTAGTTTTCTGCGTTTGTAGCCTTTTATGACATTTTCGCCAAGTGACTTAATAAAATTTTCTTTAAGATCTTTTTCCTGAAAGGGTGGAACATTGTGATGCTTATAATCCTGCAAAAGAATCGTCTTTAGTAGCTGTTATTGATATGCTGCGCATTCATACATCATAGAACTTGGGTCCAAGATCTACATTGAAGCCCGGAAAATCCACAATTTTGTTAATGTCATACTTGAAAGTATCAGCTTCACCTTCCTCGTCATCTGATTTTAGTACCTCCGTGCCCTGAAATTCAATCATTACGTACAATTGCTCATTTTGGATTATGTTTACTGCTTACATCGGCATTGAAAAGCGAGAGCCCCGAGCTTTGCACCTTAGCTTCTTCAAGCCAAGCAGGTGGATAGCCCAAGACTCGCATACGATAAAACATAAAGGGAACTTCGCCTCGACTATAGCCCATGGCAAGACGTGTTTTAGTGCTAATTTTCCCCGGTCGTATATGCGCCAACCGCTGCTCTACATCTACGTGATAACGCTCTGTACGACTTTTCCGAGCCCGCTGAATTCTGGAATTGTTCCGCGGCTTCGGGCAACTGCGAAGAGAATGACCCGGTTGGCCACAGTTGAAGCAAGAATTCTGTACCTTCGGACGAAAGCATTTGTCAGCTTCTTCAGCTTTTAGTTTCTTGCGCAGTTCTGTTTCCTCGTCCAGCACCTCCGAGTAGGAACGTTTGTAAGATGGAACGTGCGCAGCATTCAATTTCTCCATTGGTTTAGTGTCAATGTGGAAAAGATCGTTATCAGCTATTGTTGGTTCTGCTGGTGAAGTCTCCGATACTGTATATACACTTATGCTAAGATCATCGGTAGTTTCCTCTCCGTTCGTCAAAGTCGGTGTTTTAAATGTAAAATTTTCTTCTGCAAATTTGCGCTGCATCAAATCTAGCAAGCGCCCGTGCAGCTTGTCATACAATTCCCTGTTACGGAATTTAATTTCAAAGGCGGGTTGGGGATCAAGATCATCTACGGTTGGATTTTCAGTTGCAAAAGTGGCGGCAGTTTCGGTCGTCGCCCCTACCTCTTCATCATCTGCCTCGTCATCTACCTCACCATCCTCTATCTCGGCGGCCTTTTCGGCATCGACGTCTGTTGAGTCGTCCAGCATTATAACGCTATCGTCAAAAATCTCTATAACTTCGCCCATTGCAAATACAATTTTAAGCACAAATATTTTATTGTTGTTAAACAAGATGTGTGTATTTATGGATTTTTAGGCACGAATCGTCAATCACGATCTGGCAACGTCGCCATGTTTTTGAGTGCTGCAGTCTGGCAAGGCAATTTGAGCTGACTGCGAAAGAGTGTTAGAAAAGACATATAGTTTGAAAACTCTTTAACTGATATTATCAATTAAATATTTTATGCATGTATCTACAAAGCGATTACCCATAAAACTTAAAATTGTACGAGAGATGTTAATTTTTCCGCCTTCTCCATGGACTATGCCCGTTTAAATAGTGTGAACATCCGTAAAAAAAGAATATGTATGTGTAGCACATCATGCATGCAAAGCAGGAGTTTGCATATCTAAATAAAAGTGAAGACGTCACACTTATCTTCAGATCAGCTATATGAAAACCAACTGCGGCTATTTGTTGGCACCGGTCATGAATAATTTCACCCCAGACTCACGACGAAGTTTAAATAACGCTCACTACCTTATAATTATACATTCTACCTACAGCTGGGGGAATTCAAGCAAAAGCAAATCGGCAACATCATATCGGCTGGGTGGCTATTTGTAAACAAGATTCGTTCGACACAATAAAACTGTATAAGAGTGCGCGAACAAATCTGTGGATAGGGACAATTATTGCATGCAAATTAATTTTACATTGCGAACATCTTGCTATAAAAAGACTCGAAGCGTCTGTGCTGCCAACACTTATACTACAAACTCTCGAGCAATGGGTCAACTGAAGTATTGTACATTTCTTCTGGCTATAGTGGCGTGTACATTGGCCACGCCCACACTGCACAAATCAAAGGGCGGCACAGCTACCGTACAGCACCCACCCCAAGCGGTCTACGTACCCGCACCCGCTCCACAGCCAGTACAGATTGTACATCCACCCCCAGCCAAAATTGTGAAACCGAAGCCTGTCTTTGTAAAGCCCGTTATTGTACAACCAGTATTAGTGGTAAAACCAGTAGTTGTTGCTAGTGGTGGTGGTGGTGGGCATGGTCACGGCGGACATCATGGCAAAAAACATTTCTTGGGTAAATTTAAGTAATTATTAAAATAAATAGATGATTGATTGGAAATATGAAATGCTTATAAACATATCCAGTAATTTACACCATCTCGTCAAATATTTTTAACATTGTTATTTCTTTTGGTTAATAAAAAATCAACAAATATACAATGTACCCGTATATACAATAATGTGTCATGGTCAAGCTGTCAGATTTCGATTTGGGACCAACTATGAGTTTATTTTAATTTATATCTGGTGTATTATTTTTCCAACTCATGTACATTTTTTATGTTATGAGCACAGTTGACACCAATAATTGAAAAACTGTATGTTTTTCATTGGTAATGTGGATGAAAAAATCATTCTCTTCTTGAGTAGGAAGGTAACATTTGGGGACAACCGGTTTTTTAAAAGAGCTATTTACCGATGCTTCATAGAAAAGCTGGAAAGTATTTGTAATAAAGAAATTAAACGTATTGTTGATTGAGATTTTATTATAAGGATGGCAGATTTACGTAAAGAAAATCATGCTGTCTCATTTTTTTTTTTTTTTTTTTTTTTGATCCCATTTAACAACAAAAGTACATAGTACATACCTCAATGTATTTATGTTTAACTATTACGCTTTCATTTTCTAAAATTGTGGTTGAATTTGTAATATTTTTATATTCTACAAATCGAAATGAGTTGCAGGAATACCACTGATAATAAGCCTTTTTTATCTGGTATCTTAGTCGCATCTTTAGACCTAACTCAATCGGTATATGATAATAAATACATAGACAAATTTTATGTTCATTAATGCGCTCGACGACGATTTTGTGCAATCGATTGCAAAGCATAATGAATGAGCTACCTAATGATGGCCTTTGCGGCCAAATTGACAGCCACTTGTATTCTTTGTCGTTAACGCGGCGTATGCGCAATTTCTAACAAATTGCATTGACGAGAGCATTGGCTGCTCGAATTGGTATGAATGCATGAATGACTGAATGAACGCATGCGGAGTTGCGCATTACAAATACGCTTTGTGTACACATACATATGTTTGTATGTTTGCATGTGTGTGTGTGTGTGTGTGTGTGTGTGTAAGTGTGTGGGCGATAAACATTAACACACAGCAGCCACGGCACCCCAAGCGGCCGCGGCAACAAGTGATAAGAGCGCATTCTAATCACCGTAATCATAATCGTATGCCAGCAAATGAATTGCACACACACACACACACACATTCATATATTTATACATATAATTTATACAATTGTCATTCTCCCTTGTCTTGTCTTGTCTTCGGGCTCTTTGTAATCAGCTGTATCAACTGCTTGTAACCGCGCATTATGCAAAGAGAGGGCCGCACACCACGCGCTGGCCGCGTCCACAAAAGACATCGCGAGTAGCATCTAACCCCCACAAAGTGTCCGAGGCGGTATAAAAGCAAGTTGGCTCGAAGTTTTGCAAACATTTTGGCACCGTTTGCAGAGACGTCAGTAGTTTGTGCGAATTTTTTTAGCCCAGCTCAGTTTTGATTAGTCCAGTGAAGTGATAACCACAATCACTGTGAGGCATATTTGGCTGACTAACCACAGAAGCGACAACTACAACAACCACAGAAAGAAAAGGCTCTCAACATGGTAAGTGCTTGGGCATACAGTCAATATCAACGATATGGCATTTGTTTATCAATGCACATATTGCTGCATAATCGAATTTCGACGGATTTTTAGAAAAACAGTTTTATCTTTTAGGAGGTTGCAGGGCATTAAAATCTATTTAATATAATATACGATTTTAAACACATTATAATACCGAAAAGATACTTTTTCGGCTGTGAAAATGAAAGATGTTCCACAAGATTTTCAAATTTTGTAGAGTTATTTTGACATTTTTACGAACTGCTGCCAATATTTCATATGTCTTGCTATTATACCGCTTAAATTTCTGACATTGTGTATAGTATAACAGAATTTTATATTATTTATAAATTTCATATTATTGTGGTATTGACAGATTCGCTAAAATAATTGGAATACGTAAATACATAGCTTATTTCTTAGTAGTTATACACATAGTCATTATAGCGGCTTTCTGTGAAAAATGTGTTATGTGGAAATAAAATGGTTTTTCTGACTATTTTAATATTGACAATTATCTCGAATGCAAAATCTATCAATTATTAATACTTTCCGCGACAATTCAAACTGTGTGGACTTTGTTAAAGACAAAACCGCAATCTAAGTTGAGGATTATTTTTTGGATATTCATGGGACCATATGGCCACGAATATTGCAAGCTGGGCTGGCAGTAAACACTTTGTAATTAGTTAGTTATTTTGAGTTTTTAAATTCGAATTGGCTATTAATTTTAGGAATATTTTCGTAGAAACCCCTGATATCCATTGTAATTCTCGTTAAGGTGTAAAACTATACAGTTTATAATATTAATTAAAAGACATAAAGGAGGTGAGTGGCCCCTAATGTGGCTTCCTTATGCTTTCGTCAGGCTAGACGCCTATTCGGTTGCAAATGAAGATTTCAAGTTACAGACATTATTCAGCAAACCACTTGGGTAGGTACAAGTAATTAAAATATTCGAAACTCAATTTGAATTGCTCCGTAGCTGTTCCCGCTTTTAAGCAATATTTACAAACATATAAAGCTTGTTTGTTAGTGTCAGCAGTTACTTCTTGGTGCAGTTCAGTTCAAAGGCTTTTGCCACAAAACCACAAGGCACACCAACGATCCGGCCAATCCGACTATATGCCGACAATATGCCATCGAAAGACAGCAGCTTAGGCAATTTCAATTCGACGTCTACGTAGCGGCCGCATCTATATTTAGATCAAGTTTCAATTACACCGCACAAAAACGAGTTTACAAAAGCCGCCGCTCGATCTATAATTGCAATCGAAATATGCGTGTGCGTTATAAATAGACATAATGCTAACAAATAAAAAAAGAATAAAAATAAGCAACAAATTACAAATTTTAGACTGTCAGTTAAGCATGGCAATGCCAGTTAGTCAGTCAATCGCAACTCACTAAATCTGAGCAGTTATATCTGGTTTCTTAAGTGTCCGACATATGTCACGAGTTACGAATATAAATATACATATGTTTGTTTATATACTTATAAATTTGTACATACATATGTATGTACATAGGAGTATACTATATACTTTCTGCTCATCTCGCGTGTTGTGAAAGTTTCTAAATGTGGGTTGTACTTGGCATTTTCTTTGATGTGCTAAAATGGCAATTAGCAGGCACAGCAGATAGCGGCATTTACTTTTGAGAGTATTTTCCAGTCTTTCCCTCTTTTTCATACACTTTACCGAAAGGTTAAAAGTTAGTTAGTTTAGTGCGAATATATGTAGGCGTGGTGGACCCCCAAAATATGACAATACAAGTCCATATTCCCATGTCCGTCGATCCATTAGAACGCAGGGATCTTGGGAAGCATAAGAGAAAGAATAACCAATCTCTGTATACAGAGTCTCCGAGAAAGGACCAGTTTGTGTTATTTGTGTAATTCCCGGTAGTACTTTTCTGGTATGTTGAATGTTAAATGTTAAATTTCATCATGAGAGCCCAATTATCAAGTATGTTATGGCCATAAATGTAGAGACTGAACACATTCTCCCAACAGCTATCCTTGTTGTTGCTGATTTGACTCAACTCTGCACACTTACACACACAAATGGACACCAATAGACCAATAGAATAAACTTTTTTTTGCTATTTTTATTTTGGTTTGTTTTTGGTATTGGGTGAGTACAGGGTATTTAAAAGTTAGGCCCGCTTGACTCTAGCATTCCATTCTTGTTTTTTTTTAATTGAAAGAGAAGCAACATTTTTGCAAGTATATTGAATGCACGGAATTGAATGCTAGAGATGCCAAGATGCCACTTAATTGTGCAATCAATTGGAAAAATAGTTGAATGCATGCGAGAACCGTTAGTTAGCTAGCTAGTTAGTTGCCTATATCTGAGCCAGTTTAGTAGTTATTGTATAATCATGCAGATCGCATTTAGTCATAACCTTGTAGCCAGTGATTCGTTTAACTTAATCGCCTTTGACAGCGTCGCATTAATCTTATTCAATATTCATTGATAATAAATGCATAAATATTTGTTATATGTTTGTCCACAACGCCTAGAACAGCGTCGAATAGCGAGTCCGATTGATACATATAGTACATATGAATGTTGCGTACATTTCTACACACAACGGCTTCATTATTAAATCATACTTGTGCCACATTACAAGTTTGTTGACACGCTGGCGTATACGTAATATTATATTATTTACAAAGCGCACATAAATCTAAGCTCTTTTTTATCTCTGTGTGAAATAAAATAATTTAAATATATTTATATAGCAGAGTCTCTCTATACACAATAACTTTCTGGATGTGTTTGTCGGTGTGTGTGTGTGTGTGTGTGTGTGACAGTCCACAAAACGGAAACAAACAATAATTTATTACATACGAGCACATAAATATGCACGGCCATAGCTCAAACATTTTGCTGCGTGTGAAATTTGTGAGTGCACAAATTGCGTGATTTTCAAAATACTTGTATGATTGCTCTATGTATATATAAGTATAATATAGCTGTGTATATATGGTATGCGTGTGATCAAGAGGTGCAAGAACTGCTGCATATGACAAAAAATAAGACTGGCCGAGTGAGTCAATGATTGAGTGAGTGAAAAGTTGTTGTTGTTTGACTCAACAGCAGTCCACAATTGCCTGTCTCTATACCCTACCCCTACAAGGGTTAAGCGGCATATTAGAATTTATCCATTTATTCGAAGTAGCTGACATTAGTAGTTAAGAGATAACTTCGACATGATGGTGGGAATATTTTTTGCTCAAAATCAGCCTCTATGGTCACCGATTTGTATTGTACACACAAATCTAAGAATAACAAATAAACTACTCAACAAATAAGTACAAACAATTTTAATACAAATATGAAACAACAGATGAAACAAGGTAAAATATTTTTCTCATGCGATGAAATCTATATTTAAAAA